CACTGGGAGAGGCACGACTCTGTGTACTTACGCTAATTAACCATGAGCACCGAGATGAATAACCCCCAGGACCATGCTGGTTTTTATAAGACTCTATAACAGTGGAGGAAAACAACACAGCTGTTTGTGAGTTTAAATTCCTTGTATGTTAATCTCACAAGGAAATCTAAAGCAAACATAACACTGTTTATGCTTTAATACAACTTTTTTTATTGTACGTCATTCCCCAGTCATAAGTGATGTCAGATTGTTTGGTCAGTCTAAACTAAAGTGTACCCCAAGGAAACCCTCTAGAAACTGTGTGAAAATTGGGGGTTTGTGAATTGTAATACAGTTTCTAGTTGATGCAAAGGCAATTTTTTACTGATTAGCATTTAGCCCTTGCTGGTAGATGCTGCAGCTACATTATTCTGGGGACAATTTTTTTTTTTTACATTGATAGTCATTCAAAAGTAGCTGTGTTTGTTGCTGATGATATATATATATTATGTGCAAATGGAGAGCTCTATAAGGCGTGACATTTACTTTTTAAATGTTTAGTCACATACCATTTATAAATTACATAGTTTTTATTTTAAAGTAACAGCAAAGACATTTATAATGTTACAAAAAAAATAAATGTTGTTCTTTTGAACTTTCTATTAATCAAAAAATCCTGAGAAAAAAAAAAGGAAAAAAAAAAAAACACAGTTTCCACAAAAATATTAAGCAGCACAATGATAGCTATAAACATTTCTTGAGTGCCAAGCCATCATATTAGAATGATTTCTGAAGGATCTTGTGAGACTCAATACTGGAGTAATGGCTGATGAAAATTTAGCTTTTCCATCACAAGAATAAATTGCATTTTAAAGCATTAGAATAGAAAACCATTATTTGAAATTATAATTAAATTAAATTTAAATGTTTTTTTGTTTTTTTTTGGATCAAATAAATGCAGCTTTGGTGAGCATAAAAGACTTCAATTAATAATAATAATAATAATAATAATAATAAATAAATAAATAAAAATTGTACCGACCCCAAACTTTTGAACAGCAGTTTATATTTTGTGTTGTTGTCCAACTGTTTGGTACTAACACGAAACTGTTAGTGTACAACAGCTGAGCAACAGTGATAAAGAGCTTCTACTGGGGACAAAACTGGTTTATGGGTCCGGAATAAGAGTAGGGGGACAAACAAACCAGGGTTGAGTCACGCAAGTGTGAAAACAACCTTTAAAAAAAAAGAAGATTTTTGCTTCTAATCTATTCTCTTTTGAACAGATTCCACAAATCAGACAAAAATTTGATATTTTGTGTGCTGCAGTGTGAAGATTCCCATCCATTCTGTTTTACATCTGATTGTAAAACGATCCTCCCTGTTTAGAAATGGGATGAGAGCGTAGCAGAGGGCCATAAACGCTAACGAACAACGCATGTAAAGACTTTGGCTCGGAGTGCCAGTGCAAAGCATTTATCACCAAATGCTGTCTGTAACAGTCCAATAAATGATGAATGATGGAAGGAGGCTTCCACAGCACCTGCTCCCCTCATTTTAGGACAGATTAGGACAGGGTTGAGGAAAATGGCAAAACCTGTTAGCCAGAGGGCCGAGACAGACGTATCGCAAAAGAAAGAGTGAAAGATAGAGCGACAATGGGGTGATGACGAAAGAGAGTTAGCCCATCTGTTACTACAATGGCGTCCCAAATGCCGCTCCATGGCTGATATTTACATGAGCTAATCCGGCACAGCTCATTCCCAATACAAATCTATGAACAAGCAGCTCTACCAGAGCAAAACATGGTAGCAACACAGCCACAAAAGCATTGTAAATAACAATACAGCAGCAATATGTCAGGTGCGATTAAAGGAAGCTGGTGTTTCCATGGAAATGCTAGGACAGAGAGTCCGTCGTATAACACAGGCATGTGCGCGCACTTAACTCAAACTCATAAACTCAACACAAACTTTTCCTTTTCAACACTCGAGTCCCCGCAGGAGCGAAGCAGCTCCTCATTAATAACTAATTACGAGCGCTAGAGATACAGCTTGAAACATTACGTGGCGGACACTAAAGCTAGTCAGCATTCAGACAGGGTGGCTCAGGAATACGCCTGAAGCAGCTCAGGCATTCACAGATTGGTTCACAGCGTATGCAGGGCAGTTCCAACTACAGGCTGGGGAATATGCTTTTCAGTTTGTCATGGAGGGCTATTGACGAGACCATAGAGAGTCTTGACTTTTAGGTCAAATTATGCACATCCTTCTGAAAACAATGTGCTCTTGTAAGTTTCTTGGCGTAAGATGAAATGTATTAGACAAGGTTTTGAAAGGGTGTAATCCAGCATGGAACGTCGTTGGGCTTCTAAACAGGCGGGTTTGTTTTAAGGCCTTTGGAAGTCTCTTTGAAGAACCAGCGGGATCTTTGTGTTTGCGTGCAACTGGGAGGGAAAGCCTGTGTACAAAACCCTGCGTGTTTCCGTGTTATGTGTGCTGTTGTTTCCTTCCTCCAGAGGAGTTTGGAAGCATATGGACCAGTTCATTAGAACTAATGTGGCATAATAGTACGTTGCTCACGAGGCTTTTGCACAAAGCGCTGCAAGTGATAGCAAAGCAATCATTTCTAACAAGCTGCATTAGCATAGAATCAGCAGTGAGAATCCCAGCGGTGAGCCAGTCATGACTGCTTTCTACAAAAAAGATGCCTTCAGGAGGCTAAAAATATGAAGCAAGAAAGGTGTAGATCTTTCTTAGATCCTCTCATCTCTGTTTCATTACCTCACTTGTCACAGTGGTCCCGTTATCCATCTCAGGTAATCTGAACGATGCTAAACAAGGTATTGTAAGCTGTGATTTAATCAAACTAGGTTTGTCACTTAAAAGGATTGTTCACCCCAAAACAAACTCACACTTATGACATTCCAAACCTGTATGCATTTATTTCTTCTGCCAAACACAAAATAATATATATTGTTTTCATCCATACAGTGAAAGTCAGTGGGTTCCAACGTAGATTTTGACTCAATTAACTTTCACTGTATGAATGAAAACAGTTATTTAAAACCCAATAACAATGTGAGGACGAGTGAACTATCCCTTTAAATTAATGGAGGGTACATGGTTTGTAATAGGGCTGCAAAATTAATCAAAATAAAACCAAAATCGCAATATGGCTAAGTGCACTTATCAAATCACAAAGGCTACGATGTAATTAAATAAATATATGCACTGCACATTTCAGAGTGAAGTATGGCAGAGTGTTATTTATTTATTTATTTTTACAAACGAGAAGCTTGTTTTTTTTTTCCACCAAAATAAATGTTTGATGGTTTTACATTTGAAAGTGTAGATGTTTTAGATGTTTTTAGATGTAGAAGTGTTATTATTTTTATTATTTTTATTTAATTGTTGTTGTTGTTGCTGTATTTTGTTAAATACTCAAGTTTGTTTTATTTTACATATTGCAATAGTAATAACTGTTTTATTTAGTAATAATAATCATCATCATCATCAAGTATAATTATTTTATAGTCATATAAAAAATAATATAATATAATATAATATAATATAATTGATATATACCAGATTGTTTAACCCTCAAAACATACACAGCTAACCTTAAAAAATAAATAAATACAAATAATAATAATATTTATTCCCTATCAAATTGCAATTTGATAATTTCCCCAAAACATGCAGCCCTAGTTTAAGCATATCATACCAAAAGTTTATTGGTTATCATCATTTAGAAACTATTTAGCATGTTTAGCAATAGTATAATTTAGCCAATAGTTTCGCAGGTGACAACACACAATTAATCTTTGCTCTCAGAACACTTCAGTAGTAAATTAGTACCTGCAAAATGATCATTTTTGTGCCGGCAAGATGCTCATGCTTCATTTTTGTTGTCTCATTTCCTCTAAAGCTACAGGAAGTGATGGAAGCCAGCCCGTTCACAATGCCCGAACCTCCCTCGCTTTTCTGACTGCTGTTAACTTGCTCTGACAGGGCTGCTTTGCTCTCTGTGCAGGTCTCTAACTCCCCACTTCCTCATCCAAGCCTGAGCGCTTTTACAGCCACAAGGAACCTGTTCTTTTTGAATTGCCACAAGTGAATGATCAGCAGCATCGTACAGGCAGTGCAGGACTTTCCGGCGGTATGTCTGAGAAAAGAAAGGTGGTGATGAGTGATAGATTCACTCCATTATGTTCTGCTCTAGGTCGAGTGTGAGAATAGTCTGATATTATTCCTGCTCATCCTTAATATAACCACGAGATCCCCACGGGAAACCACAGCACTGGATGGGAGACTGACAGAACGAAGAAGAAGAAGAAGAACTTCCAGACATACAGTAGTATACTGCATGGAACTAGAGAGAACTGCACTTTTATGTGTTGTATTATATTACTTCATCCAAACAAAATCGTATACATTTGACCCAAGTGACAGCTTCTCAAGGAAACGTCCTTCTATCAGCATTCATGCATGCATCAACAAAACATTGTTCTGGTGACCTTGTTTTGGAGGATAACTTGAAACCTTGCTTATCCTCACATGTATTTGACATCAGTGGCTTTTCACAGGATTCGGCTGTATTTTTCACAAGTTTCTCTACTCACCAAGGTTCCATTTATTTTTAGCAGCCATTACTACAGTCATCAGTGACACATGATATTTTAGAAATCATTCTAATTTGGTGCTCAAGAAGCGTTTCTTCTAATTATTAGTGTTAAAAATAGTTGTGCTGTTGTGTACATTTATTTGAAATAGAATTGTTTGTAACATTATAAAATGTCTTTACTGTCACTTGTAATCAACTTTCTTATTAGTAATAAGTATTAATTTCTGGTAAATTATTTTCTTTAAAAATATCACTGACGCCAAACTTTTTAATTTTATTTATTTATTTATTTATTTATTTATTTGTTTGTTTATGTATTTATTAATTAATGTATTAATCTATTTACTTTTTGGAACAGTAGTGTAATTTATTCTAATATTTATGAAAATTTAAAAAATTTAATTTAGGTATTAATTTATTTACACCATAGATAAATAACTGCACACTTGGCTGAGAAAATGCCACACACTGTCCTAGGCACAGAAATGTCTAATTCCAGACTTATCATGGACATTCCTATTTTTATGCAATGATACTTATTTTTAAAAGTCGTGTGATGACATCCATACATAATCAAGTCTTTTTCAGATTCTTCAGAAATGAGGTCAACACATCTCTAGAGTGACACTTGATTCCAAGATCAGTGAGGCTTGGCTCTGGCACTCCACTTGATCCCACTCACCTGTGGATATGGATAGTGATTTTAAGACAGATGAGATCTGAGGACATGTAGCCTGGGAAAATCTGCTGTTAACTTGCAAATCTCTAAGAGCCAATCCCCAGTGTTTATACTGAGTATATGAGGCCATCCGGAGAGACACGAGGAGAGAGGGAGGGGCAGCTGGAGCCCTGCTGAGTAAATTCTAATCACGCCAACCCTTAATCACTAGGTGTGAATGAGGAGTGGGTTTCGTGAAAAGTTGAGCTCTCCTACTAGTATTGCACTGGGATTGATTGCAGGAGAGATTTACAGCTGCACCAAAGCACCTTTTTACTCGTACCCCACCATAAACCACAGCAGAGCCGCTGAGAAGCCATGGCAACGGGAGTCCAGCACGTACGCACATCCCACCGACCGCAGCTCCAACTGAGGGAGAAGAGGATCAGAGCAGAACAGAGAGAGAAATGGGAGGAACAGACATAACGAATAGTTTGCAAAGGCAGCCAGCAATTAACTGTAGAAAAAAGGGACGCGCTCACTTTGTCCAAATGCTTTGCGATTCGTTTTGATGGTGTCTTGCTGAACATTTTGTACGTCCCGTTTTTCACAGCCCATGAATAAATTATAAGTCTGCTTTTTTTAAGAGATATACATTAACAGATTCACAACAGCAGTGGTGCAGAAGAGCAAACCCGAATCCAGGAGGACCGAGAAGGTGCTGTACTCACAGTAGAAACCTAATGAATTCTGCTTCCGACAAGATAAACATTCTTTGAGGATCACCTATGAACATTTTAGAGCCCTTTAAATATAATGAATTACACTGTGCACAAATTAACACCTCATTCCTGGTCTCAACTCTGCCTTAAATCTATTGATATCCTAGTACTACAACAAGAACACACTTTAACCATCAGCTGATCCCTGTTTTAAAGGCACAGTTAATCAAAAAATGTAATTCTGTCATTATTTATTCCCTTCGATTTGTTCTTAAACTTTATAACTTGTGTAACAACAAAAGTTGATTTTTGAAGAACATCTTAGCCTCTTTTTGTCATAAGATGAATGTGAATGAGGGCTGGGGCTGTAAGGCTTCAAAAAAGACCATAAAACATCATAACAGTATAGTCTATACAAATTGGGCACTATATATCCCAAATCTTATAAGCCAGAAAAATATTTTTGAGAGGAACAGACCAAAATTTAAGTTGTTATTCACTCACTTAAATTTTCACTGTTCATAAACTGTGAGTTGAACTCATAAACAAGTAATTCGGAAAAGTTGGGTGGACTGGATCACCTGATTCATTGAATTAGAACGATTTAAAGAATGATTCGTTCATAAATCAGACATCACAAATTATCTCATGAACTTTCATCAAAGAGTCCAATACAAGAATGAATCATTCCGACTAGTTTCAGTCAGTCATTCAGTCCAAGTCATGAATGAATCATTCAAACCATTGATTTTGTGAACAAAATCAACTGATTCAATGAAAAGATTTAACTCAAAGAAGCACTGATTCAAAAATCAAACATCAATACTTCACACATGAATCAGTTGATCTTCAAAGAGCCAAGAAGAGCTGTTTTATCAGTCCAATTCATGAATGAATCATTCAAACCAGTTTTCTGAACTAAATCAACTGATTTAGTGGAAAGATTTGACTCAAAAGAACCATTTATTTACAAATCAGACATCAATACTTTGTTCATGAACTCTCACTGAAGAGCCAAGAAGGGCAGATGTCAAGATATACACTGAACAAAATTATGAACGCAACACTTTTGTTTTTGCAATAGGCTGTGTGTGTACATAGAAAAAGTCTTAGATCTATCTTTGAGTTCAGCTCATGAAAAATGGGGGCAAAAACAAAAGTGTTGCGTTTATAATTTTGTTCAGTGTATATATAAATAGTGTGTGTTCTTTCTTTCTTTCTTTCTTTCTTTCTTTTTTGGGGGTTAACTGTCTCAATCCCTCAATCGCTTTCAAAAAGTTCACTTTATAAAAAAAAGTGGCCAAGATATTCTTAAAAAATTCAACTCGTTTTTTTTTGTTTTTTTTTCCATGGAAGAAACAAAGTCAGAATTTTATTTTTAGGCTGAACTATTCCTTTAACTCCAAAGGATACAGTAGGGGACTCTGATGTATTTTTGATCACCTGGCATGCCGAAGTTAGAGTTCCACCTCTATGGCCATTTGTCGAGGGAGGCTGTTATCACTATGGTAAACTGTAATGGAGGAAAAAACACTAATTTGCAGGTTTTTTTACATATCATTCATCCGTAGCACACCTCTCCAGACGCTTGCGCCTCCCTTGCGCCCATACTTCAGTGGCCTACAAATGTGCGAAGGCATTTTTCAGCCTGAGACAAATCTGAAAATTAGGCTCTGCTTTTAAGGCATCCAAAGAAAGCCTGATCTGGCTGATTGCTGTGTGGCTGTCTAATGCGTCTGACTCGTCAGCGACTAGATATCCGACCCTTCACACAGACACAAGTGCCTGTCAGGATCTGAGGATGACTGATCATAAATAGCGAGTCAGAAGACAGGAAAAAGAGTGGGGACAGGATTGAAATGGCGCTAGTTATTGAAGTTCACTCACGATTGAAGTATCTAGCCTCGGTTTGTGAATTACACGCCTTTCTGTCACTAATGACTTATTTGGACTACTATGTATCTAAACAAACTTATCAAGCCTTCTTGGAAAGCCTTGGGGATGACAATTAACCTCGACTGTAAAGATCTTTTATCTTTAGCTGTTGTAGCGATGGCCCTACTGGAGTAAATGAACCTTAGCCAAGCTCTCCTTTGTCTAGCAGTCGTAATGTCTCTTTCTACAGTATATGGAGTAAAGAGTAATTAGAGTTAATGTTGAAGAGTAGACTCTCCATTCACACAACACTCTGATGATACCATAGTCAAACTGTCAGGAAATTTACACGTGGCTATTCACGGTGACAAATGACACAGGCCCGCAAGAATCAATGAAGATCTTGTGAACTGGGATGAGGTTCATTCTTTGCGGTTGGTGACTCGGTTTTCTATTTTCTTTGGCTTTACAAGAAGAGGAACTAATGAACGTTTTAATAAGCGTGTATTCTGCGGATACATGAAAGATAAATAGTTTACTCTGTGGTCGTGTCCGACACCTGATCAATAGGGTAGTGTCTAATGAAAATGTCATGCAAATTGTTAATTTAGCTTTGTACGGCAGTAATTAATGAGTATATTTATAATTAGCATGCTGTCGACGGCATGCAAAACAAGCCCTTTGATCCAGCTTAATAGCCATTATGCAATTTAGCAAACACTTCATCTGGTGTAGCACGTCTGGTAGTAAAAGGAAACTACATCAGTACATGCTAAGTGGGTGACATGTTGTCGTCACTTATGCGTAGTAAGAGCATACAAACACGTAAGATATAAATAACAGTATGTCAACCTACACCGGGGAAGTAAATACAGCAGAAAAGTTTTATTAAACAATTCTACATTTATATTCAATTAAAGCATGTAGAAAAGAAAACCATAACTTTTAAGGTAAATATTATCTAAGATTAAACCTATTATACTATATATATATATATATATATATGACTACAATTACTTTTATAAATGTTATATTTTATTTATATTATGTATAATATCTAACATTAGCAGAAAAGAATAAATTTCGAAAAATTAAGTAAAATCTACATAGCTTCACGCTGCTGGTGCTCCCAGCATGCACCCGGGTATGAATAATTAATAAGGCCGCATGTTTTCACTGTTTGCCAGTTTCACTGTTGCTGTTGATTTTGTCACGTTTAGTATCTCGCTGTTTTATGACGTCTAAAGTTTAAACTTACCCATTTGTGCTCAAAAATTAGCCATTGATTGACACCGTTATCATGTCTTGGGTACCAAGTGTGTAAGCCTGCGTGTGTGGCTGAGTTTCTTGTTTCTTAAGATAATGTTAGAGAGTGTTATAACATGCAACCGAGTCACATCATTGGGTTGTTTAAAACATATCTTAAAGGAAATTCTACATTTATGTAAAACAATTTTAAATGTGTATATATTGTTCATTTTAAGCATTACTTTTTAAATTAAAATCGGCCCTATTTACTTTTTTAAAAGTATTTTCATGGTCTTATAGTGCACGTTCAAGTTCAGAGTCACAAATTTCTCAACTACCTGGATCTATTTTGATATGCAACTCACACTTTTCACGTTCCAATAAATTCCCAATGGATATAACCATTTTGTCTTGTTGAATATTGCTAAAAACCTACATTTTGCTTTGTTTCCTGTTTCAAATATGTCAAGATGTTGAAGTAAAATATAGTGGGTTTACTTTATTATTGAGAGGGGGCTTCAGGCACAGAGGAGAAGCTGAGAGGGGATTCCCAGGCATGCCAAGAGCTGGGAGAAGAGAGAAGTGAGAGGAGAAGTGAAAGATACTTCATCTTAATCTCACTTGATCTGCTCAATGTAAACAATTTAAGACCATAGAAGTTCATCTATGATTTCTTATTCATGTGCACATTATTGTTGCAAACTCCAAAGTAGTACAAAAAATGGTGCATTCAAGTTTGTTAATAGTTCCAGAACACTCTGAACTGAATATAATGCATAATATCTGAGAAACTGTTATCTCACACTTACAATGCATTTAAAAACCACCAAATATACACTCGTTGGGTCTCATTCACTTATCATGTGCATAACGCCTGCCTACAAATTATTTAATGCAGAAATGTATTAAATTTTAAAATTTGCTAAATTTAGGAAGGAATTTTGCACACATTAGAACATTTATATGAAATTAAAAAGAATAAATTCAACAAATGCACAACAAACACAACTGAAAAACAAATCCTTGAAGGTTTCAACATAATATTTTCAGAATCAAATCCAGTCTACCTAGTTACATAAATCTGTTCCAAAAATATTAAAATCTTACATGAACTGTGTGTAACACCAGCCCATTGCTTCCAGGGGTTAATTTGCATCTTGAAGAGGTTCAAAAACATTTACAAACACATCACAAAGTGCTTGAAAATGACTGGAATGACTAGATCTAATTCAGATGTTGACACATGAACAAACTGAAGACAGATCTGAAGTCACTCTAAAATCCTTCCCATTATTGACTTTGAGATCTTAAGGGAACTACCCACAATCCTCTTCTCCCCTCCTGCACAATAAATCTACCTTGTTAAAGATAGCACGGGCCATGACAATCACATTATTCCTTATCAACGATCCAAACTCTGGAAGAACCACACAGAGTGATGAGCTATAGCTCTTCATCATATCCAAGCGTTCATTGCCCTACATATACCTGCTCAAGGATATTTGCCTAATGAAACCAACACCAGCATGTAACGATCGGATGGCCTCGAACATAAAACCCAAGCAAATGTGACTGTAATGCTTTAATATGAGGCGAGCAAACATTGAAAATACACTCGTCATATTGTCTACTTGTCGAGAGACAAATTATAGAAATACAGCAAATCAATGTGAGTAAATAGAAGGGAGAGACGGGGGGATGGAGAGGTGAGGGGTTGGTCCTAGAGGAAAGCAGCAAAACATACCATCATTTCATCCCCTCATATCAAACATTATTGCCGCATTGATTTGTTGTCATTGCTTATGTTCGTGTTGAGTTGTTTTCTTTAGAGTGCATATCAGTGTGTGTGTGTGCGTGTTCTGCACAGGTAGGAAATGAGATTCTCAAATCTCAATTAATTCAGATGGAAAACATTGACCTGGGAGAAGTTAGGAATCAGTTGCCTGATTTGCTAGCACACTTTCCTTTCTCCTCTCACGCTCTTTCCTCCTCTCCCTCTCTCTCTCTGGGAGTCATTAACATCCCTAAGAACTCCATTAACGACACTGATAACCCACTGCATCATAGAGACAGCTTGAGTGTAGCACCCCACTGACACGAACACACACACACAAACGAGTGTGTGTGTGTGCGCATTAACTTTTTATCCTTAAAACAGTTCTCGCTGCATCAGCCCAACCCAACAGTATAACTAATGCAAACAGTGATTTGCTTTACTTTGGTGTTTATTCATTATTTGTGAAACAACAGTGGTTATAGGTTTTGCAAATAATGTTGCAAGCAATGTCACACTCAGGCAGAACGACAGCAATTTTGCTTGTGTGACATTTCTTATTTATGAATATAGAATATATGGATGTCATATAATGGATCAAAACATGAAAATTATGAATAAAAATGTAATATATAATGGTGATAATTTATCAGATCAATGCTATCAACGGCAAAGTTTAAGGCTAGAAACACAGCCTAGAAAACAAGATGACAGTTATTGAGTAACATTTTAGATATGATATTGGCAGTTATCTTGTTTTTTTTTGGGGATAATAGTTCAAAAACGAAATCACAGCTAAATTAATTGTTACACGTGTTAACAATTAGTGTTTTGTACCTGTGGTGTTTTGTTTCTGAATAAATCTGCTTTGAGCAAATCAGTTGAGTGAAAGATTCAATGAATCACTCATGAAGAAAATCGTTTGTTTTGTTCCTGAATAAATCAATAATAAATTATTTAAGGACACTTTTGCCTGTGCAATCTTGCTTATTTATTAATATAAAAACATGATGTAACAGATGAAAATATAATTATAAACAAACAATCAAACAATAAATTATAAAATAAATGCTATTAATGGCAAAGTAAATGTTGGTAGCGAACAGCTTTAAGATGCAACATTCTCTTTTACTTTAAGTTTTTTTTGTTGTTGTTGTTTATTTTTGTTTAAATAAACTCAATTGAAATCACAGCAGAAATAACTGTCACGCATTTCTGAGCAATAGTGGTGTTTCGTTCCTGAATCAATAAATGTTTTGAGCAAATCAGTTGAGTGAATGATTCAATGAATCACTCATACAGACAGTCAGTTGTTTGGCTTCTGAATGAATTGGCGGTACTGAACGAATGGGTTGAATGAACGTTTTAATGCCACACTAATAACGATATTCACTTGACACCACCTACTGGAATAAATTCTCAACAACAATGCACAAAGAAAATATAGATGGTATAATGTCTAAAATAAGTTATCCATAAAAATAAAACTCACACTCACACTCATACAGTTGGTCTATACATTTACAGATTAATTCACCTGTATTTCATTGGCTATTCTGGTTATTATGACTAAATCAACCAAACTACTGGGTTACACTAACAAAAGTAATACCGAGAGCTAGATCAGTCTGAAAAAAATTTTTTTAAACGTTTTCATTTAAACAACAGCATATTTTCACGTTCTAGAGTATGCCACTGTACTTTGTGGTACCTTTTAAGTTACTGAGAGAGACAGAGAGAGAAAAAAATAAAGTGCAAGATGGGACTGTTAGTGCTTTGAGGTGATTGGTTCTTGCATTTGTAATTCCAAAATAATTTCTTGCCTGCTCTCCGAAATCACGCTGAGTTGGGTTTTGCTCACTGAGACGGAGGGAAAAAAATTGTCCTTTATAGACAGGTACACACATGAGAGTTGTTCTCAACTATAAAACAGCATTTAAAAACAACTTGACTTCATATAATGGAATTCTACGCTGACAGCAGTCCTTGGCATATTGGTTTATATGTACAGCAGTAGTTATTACATGAAGGCACGTATTTCCTCCATTAAACCAGTGGGCGGAATGGCTCTTTTCTGTAGTCATGTAAAAAACCATGTTTTTCTCTCCTGTGGGAAAGTTCAGCAAGGTGTGCGGAGACAGCCTGTCACTGAGAGAGAGCTCAGCCCCATAAAATGTGTGTGTGTGAGTGAGAAAAGGTGAAAAACAAGGCTTAGCCCCCCATTGTGGGTGCATAGAGGCAGCTAGTTACTGTATTATATTGTGTCGCTGGGCTTTTGAAGAGGCTGTTAGCAGCCTAGGCTAGTTTATGCTTTTCCTGCCCCTTGGCACTCGCATTGTCATGATATAGGCAAGCAATGATGCCTGCATGTGCGTATGTGTGCTTCTATTTCCATTTCCCCAGCTCAGACACACAAACACACCCAGACACACATACACTGGATGATACTAGGTGACTGTGACACCTTGTCCTGATTATTCCCTAGCTGTGGAGAAACATTGGAGGTTGAAATGGCTCAGGTGCATTGGAAATACCATATGCCTTATCCTGTGTTAATCTCAATGAAATTACAGGTAAAAACAGCCAAAAACTAATGAGTTATTGTCTTCTTAATAAAAAAAGACAAGATGAAAATGATGGAAAAAACACAGCAAGTTAACAATGTACAATGTAAAATGTAATTGTTTCATATAATTCATTAATAGTCAATCATGTCTGGGATTGACCTGCTTGAGGTGCATGAGCTGAGGGTTAAATAATACACCCAAATGCATCTTAAACGTGAGATTAATTGGATATATGCACAATACAAAATATATTAGAACATTGACTTGCACAAAGTGTATCACAGTTTCTACAAAAAAAATATTAAGCAGCACAACTGTTTTAACACAGATAATAATATGTTTTTGAGCCCCAAATCAGCATATTCCTGGAGTAATGGCTGCTGAAAATTCAGAAGCTTTGCCAACACAGAAATAAATTACAATTTAAAACGTTAAAAGTAGAAAAAAGTTATTTTAAATTGTAATGATAGTGCACAATATTACTCTTTTTTGATCAAATAAATACAGCCTTGGTGAGCATAAGAAGCTTCTTTCAAAAACATTTAAGAAATCTTACATACCGACCCTAAACTTTTGAATGGTAATAGAACATGTTTGAATGTCAATTGTGTTGATTAAAATTAAACTTAATTTTAGTCAATAGTTAAATTAAGCAAATTTTATAAATACAACTTAATAGAATATCTCCAAAACCCAAAACCACATGTGTTTCACATATTTCGCATGTGATTACAACGTGATTGCACATGTGAAGTTCACATGGTTTTTCTGTAAGGGGTTGATTACATTTGAAGGACATTTTTGTCATAGACCAAAAAAAATAAATAATAATAATTGAACATATCCCTAATCCATCACACATACATGTAGGCTAAACAACTGGTGTCAACCACCCCCATCCTTCCTGTTGGGCTATTTCAGTAAGATATTATCATGCTGGCTGGTAAAAGTGATGCCTTTCTGCCTAAAAACATTCCCCTGTTATTCTCCATGCAGCTCTTAAATAAGCATGTTCGCGCTAACCACAGAGCTCAGCCGTGTCATTTCCACATCAACCAAGTGTTGTGTGGACAGGGCAGAGAGAGCTCTTTACACACGACCATAATCTCCAATCATACACGGGAGAAGAAGAGACAGGATTTCTAATTTCCATGCCACTTCACAACCGCATTCACACAAACACATCTGGATAAGTACAGCACTGAGTGTTGACACATATGTCCGTGCAGATCACAGAATCGAATGCATCATGCAAACCATCCAACTAAACAAAGTGCGTATGTGTGTACAAAAGTTGCTCATCCTGTATTTGTGACCTCAGGGTAAGGTGAGCTGTTTAATATGTAATATATATATATGTTTATATGCATTTATCAGTGGTATCACCAGCACAATAAAGGTTTAACAAATTAATATTTGATTAGGGTCAAAGTTGTATACATGTTGCATGGAACATAACATACACAGCATTCAGGTGTGGAACAGAATAGGTCCATTAAGCATTCATGTGCTCACTTTATCATTGAGATCCTACTCTACATGTAGTTTCAGATTCAGCACATTTATGCACTATTAATGAACCTCCTGAGGAGAACACACAAAAATGGCAAAAGATGGCTGAAATGATCAAATATAAGATGACTGAATCCTACGCAATATCTGGGTGTTTTCATCAGTCCACTAGAATGATTCATTAATTTTGAATGACTTTTTTTAAAACAGATACAGCATAACTGCATTAACAAAAAAACAAAAAAAAAATCTACTGCAGAAAGAATGTAATGTGTTATATATGAAGCATTAGTTGTATTCCTCAAATTTGATTTGATTTGAATTATTTGAGTGAATTATTCAATGACTTGCTCATACTCAAGGCTGTCATACTCAAAATGTGTTTTTGAATGAATCAGTGCCTTTGAATGAAACAGTTGAGTGAATGATTTAATGACTCATTTATAAAGACAGTGACTTGTCGCCACCTACTGGTGTAATGATATAACCTGCCAAAAGAGTCACTGAAAAATCCCCACTACTAATGCATAGATTGACAGTCTAAGATCTAAGCTAAATTTAAAAAAAAAAATAAGTAAAAATTATATAACATATTAAAAAGATCTAAATAAAGAAAACTTTCTTGAAATTTCTAGTCTTGCATTATAATTGCAGTTGCATGCCCTGAACAGAAGTGTACAGGGGTAAAACAGAAGAGAAAACAAAAAAAAAAAAAATAGAGTGTCTTGGTACAGGAAGAGAACAAGCTGATGGTAAGTTGGAGAGGTCATGTTACATGAAGGTCAGCAAGAAGCTGCCCTAGACAATCTCAAAAGCAAGGAGAAAAAAACAAGTATAATTTCACATTGCTTTTTTTGACATAACTAAGTTGCACCCACAAGGAAAATACATGAAAATATATTTTGAAATTTGTAGTGCCAACATCTGGTACCTGAGAGCATCATGTAATGGCACATGAAAGTGGTAATATCAAAGTACCATGGCATTACCATCTGATACCATAGTACTGCCACAATACTTTTTGAGGACTGTCTTCCTCATTTGCTGTAGCTGAGTGTTAAAAAAGCAAATAGCAACAGTTACATTGTAAATTTACAATATGAATGTGCTATTGTTTCAAAGAACAAAGACCAGCTACAATCAAATCGGGCTAATTATAGTGTGACCACAACAGCATGTAAATGTTTTTTTCTTTAAATTAAATCATTTGCCTTGTCATTGAGTCCTAACCAACATGCAAGCAAGAGTTAATCTAGCAAGTAGTGATATTTTTTTTTCAAAGAATTATACACCCAAATGTGAAAATTATTGAATAATATTTAAACAGTTGCTTACATTTTGACCTTTTATTTACATGCACTAAAAAGTTTGGATTCGATAAGATTTTTGAAAGAAGTCTCTTATGCTCAACAAGGCTACAGTTATTTGATCAAAAACACAGTAATATATTGAGAAATGTTAATACAATTTCAAAATATAATTTATTCCTGTGATGGCAAACACACACACACACACTCACTCACACACTATATGTATATATTGCATCTTTCATCAGCTCTTTCATTTCATTTTTAGGTGACTATTCCTTTAAGAACAAAAACAGCATTTCGGGGAAAAATAACATAAAACTTCTTTGAAAACATGTCCTAGTGTACCAACTTCAGACACATCACAACATTTACAGCACACATTCAAACCAGCACAACTGTCCATAACTACAAGCTCGCATGTTTAAATGATTGTTTTTTAAATAAACATTTCCAAAAAGAACAGTTTTTGGCTGTGAGGAACAGGAGCTTGCCACAAACAGAAAAAAATATTTTCCACATGAGAAAGCAAGAAAGCGAGACAAAAGGAAAGACAGGGGGAAAAACATACAGGGAGGATTCGAAAGCTCCACAGCAGCGGATTAGTGAGCAAAGCAAGTTGTGAGCGGCAGACAGTGAAAGAAACAGGGCTCTCTTTACATGTTTTTTATTTCATTAAAAATGTAAAATGGCTTTGTGGAATATGCAGCGTTTGGGAGAGCGGAGCGAGGAAGAGCTCAGGGCTCCATCTAATCAAAGAGAGGCAGAAAGAGGCAGGGAGAGAAACCGCCTCATCTTCCTCGCGCAGAAGTAATAGATAAACACTCCAACACGTACGGTCAAAACCTCCCCAGTCCAGCGCTCGCTCAGCTGCAGTACAGTTCTCCTCCAATCTTGCGTCCTGCTCAGGATTGTCTTGTTTATTTTTCAAAATCTGCTTTCACAGGAACATTACATCAAGTAAAACTGCAGAAAGGCAATAATACACCTACCCACCATGGCTTCCAGCAAAGGCCATCCACTGCATAACCGGAATATATGGTCAATTGTTCAGAACAGCAGTTATCTAACTGCTTAATATCTTCAATATTCACCATTCTCTATTCTCATCTCAAAAGCAATTGCAGAATTTCGAGGCTGAAGTGAGGCTTGGGAAAACACATCGACAGGATTTTATGTACTACACTCGACGTTTTATTGAAATTAACTGCACGCAGCATCATCTCGGTTACCTCGAAGCTGCCATTAGAATGATGTTTTGTTGAAAAACTAGCTCTTTTATTTTGTTTATAGTACCACTTTGAAACAGGCCTTCACATTCTAAAATGGGTCACATGGTGTTATATTATTCAGCTTCAGTGAGAACAGTGACTAATATCAATAAACGTTTCTTTATAAGGTTATGCATGGTAATTCTGCTCGTAATTCTGCAGCTAAAACTAGTGTTTGGAACATGGTGGCTAGTTTCTAGATGGTCTGAGCAGCTCATTAGCTGGTCTGGCAAGTTTTTGAACTGTGTGGCATGAAGTGTCTGTCAGCTACAGTGTTACCCAATGGTCAAATGGTCAACACAGCACTCAAATTTCTAACAATTTCAAAACAGAAAGGTCAAAAGAACAACAACTATTTAAAATAGAAATCTTTCTAAACATTCTAAATATCTTTACTGATATATGATAAATCAGTAAGTCAATATGAAATTTAAATGACAGGCTATATTTATATTATGAAATTTCTATTAAAAACACAACTTAATCTGGTTTTAGCATGATTAGCGTCGCCCTTGCTAAAAAAGCATTCAGTAACCAGCC